TGCCAATGGCAGGGGGGCAGACTAGATGATCTTTTCAGGTTCCTTCTGACCCCAAACTACTATGAAACAGAAGTTAGTCCTTGGGTCATATGAGTTTATTAGATTGTGTGATTCTTTCATCTTTTAAAAATAACTGCTTGGACATTGATTTAGAATGATGCTGAAATAAATTCTTATTTGCTAAATTAATTTCCTCTCTATTTCTGACTTCAGTCTTTGAGATGTGCTTGTATATATGCATTTGTAGCTATACCTGTGGTACTCAACTTTTTGGCTGTTTGACCAGATGAATGGCATGGAGCCAATCTGTGGGCTAGATCCCTTATGGGGTTGCCACCGCTGATTGGGTCCCATGCCACCGTAGCTCAGCCCACCTGCTGGAATCTGGTTTGGCTTTGCTCCACCCCCGCACACTCTATCTAGCATGCAGGGCCGTGCTCTCTGACCTTCTCAACTACTCATGAGCCCGGAAATTAGCAACAGGGAAGCAGCAATTAATGCTACCAAAGCTCCCGCAATGCCAAATTTTCAGACCCATGGGGAGCCCAGCAGACTGAATGACATAGCTCTGTGGGCCAGTTGTGGCCTGTAGTCCAGAAGTTAAGCACCCCTGATCTATACTAAGGTTAAAAAGGTGATGCGTTAAACAGAAATTTGCTGTTTTCATATCGTGTTCTTCAGGATGGAGTCTAGATCTTCATTGTTTCAGAAAACTTCCAATATTCTGTTGGCTCTTCCGCCATCAAAATGAAAATAATACATAGTAAAATGTATAAAGTTAGACTGCTTTGCATATTCTCTACTTCCTGTAGGAGTTAAATTAAAAGACAATTGAAAGGATGCTTAATGTTTTCCTTTCATGTGTGCCTACCGTATTGGTGCTTGCTTTGCCATTTATGCAGGCCTCACTTTCAGAAGTGTGTGGCATCTACAGCTCATTGTCTTCTATTAGAGCTGTGAGTGTTCAGCACTTCTGAATATCAGGTGCTGTGTCCTCTAATGCATTTTATAAAACTACTTGGACTCCGAGAAAATAGAGCCAGCATTGCTTTTTGATACTGTTCTATTCCTGGAGTTCATGTATAATACAGTTCATGATACTGACAGAGGTTAACTGGTGTATGAAAGCTCTTTAATCATATCTTGAGGATCCATTTCTTTCCACTAACATAGCTTATATCCTGATAACGTGACAAGATGACTCCTTCAGTTAAGAGGCCAAATATTAGTTTAGCTCAAGCTTCACTTCCAGAGAGTTAATTAAGCAGAAAATGGTACAAGTCTTGTTGCTTATACAGTGTTCGAGAACAGATCCCAGAGGGGACTATGATAGGCAATCTCAGGTGGCAGCAAATTGAATTAGTCTGACAGCCTCATTGAGTTTATACAGCACTGTGAGGATACATGACCTTTTTCCATCCAAGATGCTGGAATGACTCTGGTTATCTAGCACAGGGCACGACTCATCTCAGCACTGGGTGAAAACTACAAGATAAAGTACACATCAAGGGACATATATTGCTAAGGATAGCTAAAACTGCATCTGGATATTGCTGGAGATCTCTTAGCATTCATAGTAACCATTCCCTGCTGCATAATGCTTTGAATATGATTTATTTATGGGATTATAGTGTATTTATTAAATGCATTGCTGTCTGTTGAAAGCAGCACAGAAGCCCCAGTTAGTGCTCCTAATAATTATTTCATAGGTAAGAGAGATTTAATGCTATTATTAACCTTTTGGATATGGAAGAAATTTTGAATGCATATAGTGCTTTTTATAAATGGATTTATCTTTTTTTTTTTTCCTGAGGAGAGCAGAAGATCATTCAAACTAAAATACAGTTGTATGAATCATAGAAAAGACTAAAAAAAAGTGTTATAATACTTTGTAATGGAAGTATCTGAGAGAGAGAGAGTGTCAAGAGGCTGAATTTTGATAGGTGCACAGTTGTATCTGCAGATACATATAGTACAGGATGTTATGCTAACATATAGTACAGGATGTTATGCTAACAAAACTTGTGTTATGACCAAGGGCATAATTTTTTTACTTACACAGCTGTACATGAAAAACAAGTCTACTGAAGCAAGTAGAGCTATATCAGTGTAAAACTGATGAGAGATGAGAATTAGGCCACATGTAAATTCTACTTATTTAAAGTTGAGCTGAAATACTTTGAGGCAATTTAGACAATGGGAAGGAATTAATTTGGCATTTATGGAGAAAATTTCCTTTAATTAGAATTCTACCACAATTCCCATAAGTTTCTATAATCTTACATGCTTAAAAATTAAAGCAATGATAGTCAGTAGGGGAAAGAGGGTAAAGAATATATTTTAATGGCATTAAATTTTTTCCTTTTTGAATGGCTTTTGTCTTGCTTTCTGAGAGGTTTCATTATTATTGCTTCCAGTTGTTGGTGGTTATGATTGTGAAGATAAATGTCAGAAATCCAAAGGGAATGCAGTAGTAGGATAATGTGGAGATTAATATAAGATAAATCAATTAATGCCATTATGATGAATTATTAGTGAAGTCAGAGTGTGCTACAGACTTGACAAATTAAATCCCTGGAGTACATTTATTGTCCATCTTTCTTATATTTAAATTCTCTGTTAACAAATTCGTGAACACCGCTTAAGTGTAAGTTATTGCTGAAAGGCAATGCTCTTTCACAGATCTGGAAGCAAAGTGATGCAGTGCACAATAAATAAGAAACTATACACTATTGATCTTTCATTTCTATTTTGGTAACTTATCTGATTACTGTATATAATATGGTGTCTGGCTGTGCATCCTGTATTCAGGTAAAGCTTCCACTAAGCCTCTTGGATATTTCTGGAGTAAAAGCTGCTGCAAGGTAATTTTTGTGATAATATATGTTCATGGATCAGCATTATTCTGACATGGCAATTTATTTTCTAGAAAGATTTTAGTATGTATAATAATACACAGCATTGGGGTGGATAATACAGAGATCAATGGCATGTGCAGACAACATGCCATTGAATATATATTATTGTTGTTAAAAATATATTTTAGTGTTGTTAAAAATCACTTCATCCCTGATCCTGTATATTATGCAAGTGAGATCAATAAACCTAAAGAGGATGGAGAAAGGGCAAAGAATCAATCCCAGCAATTTAGGAATTACTGAATAAGATCATACCAGTGGTCCATATACTTCATTATCCTATCTCCAATAATGATCAGTAACAGATGTTTTAGAAGAACATATAAGGAATGGCAATTACTGAGTAATCTAATTTGTATCTATCTAATCTAGTAATCTAACTTTTTTCTTTTATTCCAGGAAGTTACTTGAATGGTTATAATCTGAAAAAATGAGTGTTTTTTTTACCTTAAATAAATAGTAACAACTGATGTTCACTTCAGTCGTGTTAATTAGTGCTAACAGTAATTAATAGGGGTGCACCGATAGAGGTTTTTGGGGCCGATACCAATAGCCAATATTTAAGGAGGCATATCAGCTGATACCAATCCAATTTTTGATACAGATGCCTCTAGCTGGTAAGTTCAGTATGGTGGAAGGGGAGTGGGGAGAGAAGGGGTGTGGGGGGGCAGATCAGCACTGCCCCACAGTGAGGGAGGGGACAGGGACAGGTGCTGCCTAGGCAGGTGGGATCGGAGCTGTGGCTTGTGGGGGGGGAGGCAGCACCCACCGCTGCTTGCACCCCAGGAGGGCATGGTGGGGCGTGTGCCCCCTGGAGCTGTGCAGGGTGGGCGGGCTGGCTGCAGCTGGGGCAGCATGGGGCTCTTCTCTGCAGGGGCTGGGCTTGGAGCGGGCGCTGGCAGTGCTCGGAGGATGCTGCATCTACCCCAAATTTCACCATTACTCCGCTCCCAGTGCCGCCGCCAGTGCCAGCTGCCTGGCGCAGGCCCAGCTCAATGCCCTGCCTCTGCCCATGCACTGAAAAGAGCTGGGGCTACGCTAGTCGGCTGGCAGCAGTGGTGCTGGGAGCAGAGAGGCGGTGAAATTTGGGGTGGATGCAGCATTCTCTCAGTGCCATCGGCACCTGCTCTGAGCCCAGCCCCTGCTGAGAAGAGCCCTGTGCAGCCCGTGCTGCAGCCCGCCCTGCCCTGCACAGATCTAGGGGGCACATGCCCCCCCATGTCCTCCTGGTGTGCAAGCAGCGGGGGGAGCCGCCTCCCCCTCAGCAAGCCACGGCTCTGGCCCCCTCCTGCCCTGCCTGGGCAGTGCCTGCCTCTACCCCTGCTACCTCCTTCATTGCAGGGAGTGTTGATCTTCCCGCCCATGCCCCTTCCCTCCCCCCTGCCCTTCCACCACACCACACATAGCAGCCGGAGGAAGCTCTCCATACTGCTGGCTCTGCTCCTTGCTGCCTAAGTGCTGCGCTGCGGCTGCGCATAGCACAGGCATTTCTTGTCCAAATTATTGGCCCCATCAGGCTGATATCCAGTACAGACAGTTTTCTTTATATCGGTACCTATCCCATATCAGACCGATGTATCGGTGCACCTCTAGTAATTAATATATTTTGTAATGTGAACATTTCTTCCTAAGGAATTGATCATCTTTCATTCATAATTGACTTAAATTGGATTCAGACTGGTCATGTTGAGATAAAAGATTCAGTGTTGCATGCTATTTCTGTTGTTTCCTTTACAGTATAAGAGTAAGGGGGAAATTCCATCAACTTCATATTTCAAACTTGGCTGAGCTGCCTTGTGGAATGACTCTCTTACAGATTTTCAATGTGTTACCTGATTTGTATGTATCAGGATTCAGATGAAGGGCACTTATTACATATTGAATCTTGTGGGTTATTTTTAGTTAGTTCAAAAAAAACAAAGTCAGAAACATGTAATGTTCATATAAAATGTATTTTCCTCTCCCCTGTAGGAAGAACGTGTTGTCAATCATATGGCGGCAAAGATCATTGAAAATGTTTGTACCACTGTCTCCTATCATGCACAGGGATTTATTACAGCAGAAATTGGACCAGTGTTATGGTACCTTTTTACACATTCTACTGTAGATTCTCTGAAGATAACTGCTATTTCGGTAAGAAGCTTTCTCTCAAAACTAAATACTTTGGATAATTTGAAAAGCTTTTCAGTATTCTGTGCACATACTGGATTTTTATGCACACAACATGCTTCCAATTAAGACACTTCCTTTTTGCAAGTCAGAATGTAGAATAAAAGTTTTTTCTAGAGTCATTGTCAACTCTGTAACATAGAGTAAGTGCTCTTAGAAACATAGGAGATCCATGAAGTGTGCTTCCTGAAGAGACAACCTGGGTGAGGCAAAAGGAACTTCTTAGTATAACAGGACAGCAACAAGGCTAGGCCCTGGCCCTTGCAAGGGCAGTAGCAAGACTGCTACTTCTTTACTGTAAACAGTTTATAATAAACATTTCTGTAGTAGAGGGTTGTTTCTACACCATAAGCCTCATCAGGATACTACAGGCTGCATGCAGCACCCTCAGCAAGCTCAGTTGCTGCTTTAAGCACAGCTACAGTGCTCATTTGGTAGCTGCTGCAAGTTCCTTAGCAGCTATGCATGGATTAACATGGGACTCTTCCCTTTCTGCTTGCTGGGGCCACAGAGGAGTGACAGCCATCTTGGCAGCCATTAGAGCACAGTGTCTGCATGCTTCTATTCCTCCTTGCTTCTATTCCAGGAAGGAAAAATCATCTTCTTACCTAAGGCAAACACCCTGATTTTGGAGGGCTGATTTTGGGGAGGTAAGGAGGGAGGGCAAGGTATATGTGGTATGCAAGTAAATATGGATATTGAAATTTCTTTTTAATATTCTGTTAATATTTGATTGCATTTGATATATGTAATGCATGTAAAAATGTAAGTTTTCTATAATTGTAAGGTAAGCATTCAGCAGTCTAATACAAAAGCTCTGTTACCCATCATCCCCTGGGAATGGTGGGTGCCAGTTAATCAAATATGCTGGTTAATCAAATGTGCCCCATCCCCTGCACTCCCCGGCATCAGTATTAGTTTTGTTGAATGAGCTCTTGAAGTATCTTTTTGTATAGGCAAGCATGCTGACTTTTCCTATACAAAGACAGCTGTAGTCTGAGTCTGGAAGGACAGAATTTTTTTTCTTCAGTGGACAACAAATCTTGACTTGTTCCACTAACATCAGCTTCCATTATAAACTATAATGGCTCTGAATTGAGGTTATCAAGTGTATGGCATATGGACCAGATCCAGCCCACAGAGCTCTGTAAGTTGTCCTACAGGGCTTAGAGATGAACCAGGAATTTTGGTGCAAGGCAAGTAGGAGCAGGGTCCTCCACTGAAATCTGGTGTATAGAACCCCATTGGGAATGGCTTGACGGTCACGGGAGGCAAGCAACAGCTGCATTAACTCCTGTGGCCACAGCTACCATCACCATTCATTCCATTACTACCACCATGTCCAGATCTGGTCCACAAGAAACCACCTGGACTGGATCCCACAGTGGGGCCATGTAAATTTCACACCCCTTTTTTCTAAATGAAACGTGAGAAATATTGTTCACTTTTGAACATTTTGCTCTGATCTGGAAAAAGCTTCAAAATTACTTGACTTTCATTTCTCTGCTAACCTAAGTATTCTCTGTCACTGTAACCAAGAAGTTGCTCTTTACATATATTCAATATTTCATAAAGAAGCAAAGATCACGTGAATTTGCAAATGTAGAGGGAACTTAGGAACAGCGGTACAAATTTATATTCGTTATGTCAATATTTGTTATGGTCCATAAAATTATGAGCAAAAGGGCATGTTTGGAGGTGTTGTGAGCCATGGTGGGGTTGCAGTGGATTGATGAAGGCCTTGCTACACAGCTACTACCCTTTTGGGTTAGTTCAGTGGTTCTCAACCTATTTGCCATAGTGGGCCACACTTTCAGCTCTGTGTGTTATGTGAGTTGCACCCCACAGCTGAGGGAGCCCACAACTGCCAGGGCTATGAGACCAGGGCTAGGGCCTGCAGTCCCCTGCCCTCCCCCTCAGCAGTGCTTGAGCCCCAGCTACTGCCTGCAGGAGGCAGCAGTTGCTGCAGCTGTAGTGGAGCACAGAGCCTGGCTCCCCACTCTCCCCCATGGGTGGCATGACTGGATTGGAGCCCACGGGAGTGGGGAAGGGGAAGGAGGGTGGATGTCAGTTGCCCACTGTGGGTTTAGGGCTCCCTGCCCTGCTGCTCTACCCCTGGGGCCTCCATGGCCCAGCAGGTGGGACCCAGTGCCAGCAGGCAGAGAAGCTTGATGCTGCCACCAGTTCATTAGAGCAGTTTGTCAGACCATGGTGAGGTGCCCCCTGCCCTGCTGCTGCCAGGCGATGGCAGCAAACCTTCCTGCAGTGGAGGCCCCCAGGAGGAGGACAGCTGGGTGGGGAGCCCTGAGCCCTCAGCAAGGAGCCTGCATCTGCTCCCGTCTTGCACACAAATCTGAGAGGCACAGGCTCTCCTCCCCCATGCCTCCCTCCCCAGGAGTGTGCGCAGTGGTGTCGCAGAGTACTTAGGTGCCCTGCTCCTTTGAAGAGTGGAAACTGCTAGGGAAGGAGCCCTAGAAGTTAGTGGGGAGCGCCAGCTGCTGCTTACCAGGTGAGCG